AATTTTTTGCTGAAAGTTTCCTCTTTCGGAGATCAAAAAAGACAGCTCTCATGCTATGTCTGTTCTTTTGAGAAAAAAATAAATAAATGCACTATTTATACTGAACCTACTACCAAGTTCATCTACAAGTGGTAATTATTACAAGACCAACTATCAAAAGTATATTCTAACACGTATAGCCTTTTCTGAAATAATTGTAATTTTAAGTTAACACTAGATTATATATTTTGATTGTACCCTTTATTGCATTCCTTTTGGAAAAATAGGTTTTCCCTTATGATTATGTCTTTTCTTAAACAGTTCTTATCATCTATGGATAAGGCTATTGCAAATTTCACCCCAATATGACTCCACTTGGAATTCATATGCTAGTTTATATTTTATAGTTGACTGCCTGTTAATAGAGTAAGCTTGGAAAAATTAATTTGCTCCTTATTTTTCCACTCTACTCCCATTCGTGGAGTCAGCTGCTTGTGTAGACCTAGGCTCATGATACGTGCACCTTTGTTCACTCACCGCTCCTTGATTTATAGCACATTAAATTTTTATATTTTAGTTTCTGCATCCATGTTCTGTTGTGGTTCCTCCAAAATATTGTTTTTCTTTTTGTTACTGTATACCTGTATGTTACTGAATTATAAAACAAAATTTTGTACATTTACGAATGATCAATAAAAATAAGAATATACATTATTTTTTTACCATTAGAATGTTCTTATTATAGGCTACAGGTTCATGACCCCTATCCTTGTTTGTTTCATTGTTTGTTTGTTTGATTAAAAACCACCATAAAACTTAACTCTATTCTATTGCAAGAATAGTCTCCGCTCTCTAGTCAATCTATCTCTTTTAAAGTCATCAGAATTGATGGAGATTTGTTTTGTCCAACTAAATATCTCTCATATAAAAGCATTGGAGGCATAAGGGTCATGCTAAGCAATCTCCACACTCTGTTCAACAAACGCTTCTCTATGAGACCTTTGATTTTTGAAGATTTTGAGAAGTAAGAGCCTTTAGTGACTGTCGGTGTAGCATGGTTTCAAAGAAATGCCAACATTGCTGTTTATGATCCCTGAAAAAGGCATGAAATAAACATATCTATGTACCATATATGCATCAAAACCAATACTTTAAAAGATGAAGTGGTTTTGGTGCTTAAAATATCAAAACATAATAGCAGTATTATTAATAGGAAAAATATAACAATAATTTATAGCATCATAAAAATGCATTAATATTTTAATACAATGTATTTTACTTACATGCTTCTTCAAAATATTTAGGGTGTGATGCATTATACACATTACCATCTTTTGGGGTAGAGACTTGCCCAATAGTGCATTTTGATTTTTTTTTTTATATTTAGTAGGGCACGAGGGACGTGACACTATTTGGCCTTATATTTATTAGGATGTAGAGGGATTGGACATTAAACACACACTCATCACTTACTCGGTTCTCTTTAGTAGTAACTAAGAGACAAAAATATGACTGTTATCTTTGTTAGCTTTACTACAATCTTTGAATTATTTACATAGCAAAAAGACTCTCTTTTATATATGTTTCACGACTGCATTAATATAAGCAACTATATATGTCATATTTTGTACTCTACATTTTGTATTTTGTTCTTTATTGTTGCATTCACTTAACATCAAACTATAGTGTATTGAAAACTTAATTACAATATCTAGGCTAAAATAGATATATTAAAAAACAAAATGGAGAATTTTTAATAAAACAACAACTAAATAATCTGCTCTTGCAAAACTGTTGCAATTTCTTTTTAATTAGCTACACACTACAGTATTGAGGGAGTCAAAATGCCAGGGGGAGGGGAGAGCCAGCAAAGTCATTTTATGTAAAGCCACTGTACCTTCACAGGTACCATACAATTCAAAGGAAGGGAACATTTCCTGGATGGGGTGACACTTGCCATCTCTTGCCCAATGCTGTAGTTGCCCATGAATAAATCAATTTAGTTTTGTTTAAATTGCTATTTGAGTGCAGCACACTCATATCTAATTTAGTGTTAAGCCAGTGGAGAATTATGTCATTGGGTATATTAATACCTGTCTCTAAATGTATGCAATAAGAGTAATATAAAGACATAATATAAATAAAACGTCATCTCTTGGTCTATGTAACATGGAATTTTCCATCTAATAAAAAGTTATTTTACAATGTGTTTTATTTTTCCATTACGTTAAAGGAAATAAAACTGGAAGAACCTGTTAAACATCTGTCACGTGGTAGTACATAAGGGCAACTCATAGTACACATATTTTGTGCAATATGTAGGATAAGATGCAGTTAGTTAGACAGTGTTTTTTATTTTTTTATTTTATTAAAAGCTGCTCTGTCACCTCCTCCAAAATGAGTATTTCATAATGGTCAAATCACTGAATTTTCTGATGTAGTCAAAAGAAATACTAAGACAAAGTTAGGACTACTTTGCTTTAGTATATTCCCTACATTTTACAAAAGTTGCTAAAATATGGAGGTGCTGCCATAACGTTTTGGCATTTTCCCAAACCATCACTAGTGATTGACACTAGTGATGGCTGTAGTGAAAAAGGCATTGACTATGTAAGTATTTGCGCTCTTGCTCTCAGTGTTGTACTCTTGTGCACATGTGAGACTACAACACTGATGTGGGCTCCTGGCAGGAGTGTCAGGAGAATAGTATCACACCTAGGACTAAGGATAACATCTAAATGGACCTTAGAATGGCTGGCCTTAACGTACCAGAGAATAGTCAAAATACTTGCCCAGGTCAGGGACACAGCGACGAGGAAAGCCAGAAGTCAAGGATAACAGAAATCAGGCAAGTCGAAACAAAGCCAAAGTCAAATACCAGGAAAAACACAATCAGGAACACACTCTAGGATAACCAGCTAGTTGAAACCACGACAGGGCACTGACAAAAAGGTAATTTGGGTTTATATAACCCTCTTTAGGCTGTAATTTGTTGTCTCTGACCCCCAAAATGTCCGTGTGCGTCTATGACGTGAAATCACACGAACGTTGGCACCATCTTTGATGTGGGCGAAGGTAAGTTTCCTAAAAAAACCCGAACCACAGCAGCCAGCATTACTTAGAATGTCACACCCGCTGGGGACTGGAACGGAGGGAGATCGGCAGCTGCCTGCCGCGACCAAGATAAGTATAAAATATCTTTTTTATGTGCAGCCAAGAGCCAGGAGCCATGACAATGAGCTAAGGAGAACCATCAGGAAGTCCATCAGGAAGACCATGAAGGCAGCCATGAGAGATAGGTTCTGTTAAGAAAAACTCGTCTTCCACTGCACCCTGTCACCACCAGATTTCAAGTGGAGTTATTTGCTGTAATGGCACCCTCAGCATCAAATAGTAAAACCGCCATTTAGTTAATCCTCCCCTCTCACCATAACGCAAGCTGCATTCGTACCAACTCCAATCATACGAACTGCAAGCAGGGGAATACTCCAATCTCCCGAACGGGACCCGTACGGGTACTTCACTTCCCAATCAGTAAACTCACAAATCGCCGCTAACAGCCGAAACCATATATCTCCCAAGCGGCTAATAATTCCATCCGGCAGTCGCTATTCGTGTAGTAAATTCCCCTCCAATAACGAGACCAAGCTCCGCATTGAGGGTAAAACATGAACTGGGTTTACTGTGGGCTACCCGCCCGTATTTATGCAGGTCTCCCACTTGGTGGACACTCCCCTAGGGGACCAAATGGGAGACTGTAATGGCAGATGGACATACAGCATTTCAGGACACACAGGCACATAATATTCCCAGCATGCATCATGGTTTCCTCCCCTCTGCCCTGGAGATAATTGAGAAGTAATTCAATTATCTCCCAGGACAGAGGCAAATCGCCATTTTAGATACAACCCAAAAAACACATAAAAATACATAACTTTACAATTGCCGAACATTTCTCATTCGTGTAACACATCCCCAGATAGCCTGGATCTGAGTGCATATTATTGGCGAATAGCGCTCAGATCCCATACGCATAGTTCAATCGCCATGGAGTCAAAGTCTAGTACAGTCTTTCGGTATGCGATTGACTCCATGGGAAGGCTATCTGGGTTAAGTCCATTCGTGCCTTTCAAACTCCCGAACGGCCGGTGTTCGTATACTTTTGTCGATTGAGAAGGGAGGTCGGTGGCTTCAGCGGTGTTCAGCGGAAAAAGTGTCCGTTTTCAGTTCCATAGAATCTGGGCCAAACACCGCTGGTCTTTCGCCTGTTTAAAATGGCCGCCGCCTCGTGGTTGACATACGGACGACGACCACTCTGCATTCGGTTTTAATTGAGAGGTGTCTGTGGTTAACCACAACGTTCTAATTGGGATCAAGAGGTTAACCAGCAGCACACTTCTCTTCTACTTGGCCGTCCATTTGGTAGTTTTGTTCGGCAGTAAAGTCAATTAAACGAACAGGGGCATACGAACAGGTAATTCCACGAAAAGGCAAAACAGACGAACCAGCAATCCCAGTCTATTCAGATGGATCTGTCACATTTGCAAAATATACAAAGACCCCAAACAGTGACAGAGCTGCTTTAATATTATTTTAATAAGTAACATTAACTTGTTGCGCTTCATAAGCCCAACCTTTCTGGTTCTCCACCCAACCTGCCATGTTTCCATTTTTGCAAACCCCCTCAACCCCCAACCGCCCAAAACCACGTGCATGATGTTGGTGGCAGTTTACCTGTCTGTTTTGAAGAGTTGGCCAGTCAAATGAAATATAAATAAACTTTTAGGGTTTATTAGGCACCAGTTATATAGTAACCTCTGCAGCAATGTAGAAAATTAAGTAAGCTTCGTGATCATTTTATTTCACAGGCAGGTTTATTGAGAGCTTTCTTCTGCATGGGCAATAGTAGCAAATGTATGAACCTAAAATGAAAGAGGTTTTACATGTTTTAGTACATCAATATTTGCAATATATTGATAGATTGGACCAAAGATCATCAGTCCTGATGAAGTTACTGCAGGAGGAAAATTGGATTACATGTAAGTTTAATGGCTTTTTTAAGGCTACCATTATGGACTAAAAACAAATATATGCAAAACCTGTTTAAGATTTTCCAGAAAAGTGCCACTGCCTTGAGTCCTGGGTTCTGTTCTGTGAATAGTGACAGCTGTTTTGTGTGTAAATGTGGTGTTGTGTTTTATTGACTGTGTGTCTGATTGCCAAGTGTTGTGTGCATGTAGTGCCTGTGTGTGACAACTGGGTATTTTGTGTGTGGGAGAGAGTGTTACATGTGTATTGGTGCTGAGTGTGTGTGGGAGACTGTGTTATGTCTGGTGGCTGAATGTGACTGTGTTTTATCATATTTTATCAGGAGGGGGTCATAATCCCTGATGGTCCAGTAGAGAGCATTCTGCAGCGTATCACCGATATCACTGGTGGTCCAGTGAGGGAGTATGTAGCCTTCAGCTCTGTTGGGTGCAGATTAATATAAGAACTCTGTGGTGGTCTTGGTGCTTGGTCACTACTCTGGGTACACTGGGTGTTGTATTTTGAATCATTGACTGAATGACAGTAATTAAAGGATCACTATAATGTCAGGAAAACAAAGCGGGGTTCCTGACACTATAGTGCCCTGAGGGTGCTCCCACCCTCAGGGTCCCCCTCCCGTGGCGCTGAAGGGGTTAAAACCCGTCCAACGCCACTGGAGCCAAATGCGCATGCACGGCAAGTGCCGCGCTCGCATTCAAGCTGTCAATAGGAAAGCATTTCTCAACGCTTTCCTATAGATGCTCTGCATGAAGGAGATGAAATTCGCCTCCAGTGTCGCAGATGCTCCTCTAGTCTGGAAGACAGCCACTAGAGGCTGGATTAGCCCCAAATGTAAACATAGCAGATTCTCTGAAACTGCTATGCTTGCATCTGAATAGTTAAAACCTGAGGGACCTGGCACTGAGCTGGAGTGGTCTGGGTGACTTTAGTGTCCCTTTAATGTGATCTGAACTCTGTTGAAGTGCAGACCACATACTCTCTTAATGTAGTCAGGAAATGCTGGACCAAACAGGGAGATTTTTTGATTTCCATGTCAGCTCAGGGAGGGACTACATTTTAATCAGAGCCAGTGATCCAAGCCCAGACAGAGGATTGCTCTCTGATGTCGGGCCCTGGGTGATTGACTGCATGTCAGCCCGCAACCCTGTCTGCTAGTGGTACAGGAGTCAATTGCCAGCCCACCTCTGCTCCCTCTCAGCAATTTGGATAGTTGCTTAGGCATATATTTTAAGAGACTGAGGCTTAACAGATTCAGATATCCCATTTGAGGGACCTAGGTCTGTCAACATTGTGCTAGAAAGGTGGAACCCACAAAACATGCCTTACTAAACTTTCCAAAGTCTGCAGTTACGCACACTTATCAGTGCTTCAGTTTTCCCATGTATAATCCTTACTTACTATTCTTGCCTTTCCTCACAAGCGCAGGGAAAGTTTGAAGCTAAAGAAAATTCTAAATTTTGTTAATAAGATATTAATTATAGTGACAGTGGATTCACATGAAGAGATTTAGATTAATCCTATTGTTGAATTATAGCGTTTAATACTAAGCATTTCAAGATAAAATTGCACTATGGAGTTAATTTATTCTAATGCTGTGGAGAACGGAAACATACTCAAGGTCAATTACTGAAGTAAGAATTCAAAGTAAATTTCAAATTTAAGGCCAAAATAGTAGAAATACAAAAAAAAAAAAAAGTCAGCTATGCTTTCAGCTCAGCTAGTCTGATTTGAAATTAAGTTAGAATTCACATTGAATTCTCAGTTTAGTAAACAACCCTGATAGTTTCATTTTTTTCATACTTTATCACGTGAGAAAAAATTCCAGAATTGCCAGAAAGTTGTGGTGCTGGGGGTCAAAAATAACAGCCATAAAATAGCAGAGCAACATTCTGAAAATACACACTGTAACTTGATCGGTGAGCTCTAATACTTTAGGGTATGCCCTTGGCTACTTGCTGTGTCATGCATTTTATAATGTTCAAATTGTATTTCCTAATAGTAAAAGATGCACTCTCATTTAAAGAAACACTCTGAGCACCATAATCACTTTTTCTCAATTATGTGGTTATGGTACCTGGAGTTCTTTGGTTCTATCTTCAAGCATGATAGGCTGAGAGTGAATACGGCTTAGAAAACGTTTACATGTTTATTGGTGAGGGGGACCAATGATAGGCTGGGAGTGTCAGCTGATCAATTTGCTAAGCATTAGAATATAAATAGCGTGTTGAGATCCCTGGGGTATTATTTCTGTATTAAAATGTCCAAAAATGGTTTTACTCTGGAAGGTAATGTTATAGATCCAATATCGATCTTGTTATACTCAAGGGAACCCAAATTGTATCAAGTGCACTTGGAGATGCGTGAATTAGACACCAGACGCGTGTTGGTTATCAAAATAAGGCTCTGACGGTTTTTAACAGTTTGTGCTTTTATACATTAAAAAGTAAGGGCTTACGTGCAAATACTCATAGAACAGGAGTAGGAACAGAGTGAAATAACAGGGAAGGAGTACAGATAAAACATAGTGATGAACGTCATGTACATATAACAGATACGTTCCGGAAAAGAGAAGAAACAGACTGATTTAGGAGAGAAAGCTCAGGTTGGGGCTTTCTGCTCCTGGAACTAGACATATATGGTCTCAGGTGTTGTTTAAAGCATTAAGCATTTCCTGAGTCCAAGTTAGCCAATTTTAATATAGGATATCTTATATGACACCTATAAGCTTGAACCTTGGAAACAAGGTAAATTCTTTCACAGTAAAATGGTGCCACGGAACTCCAGACACCATATTTACTTCATTGTAATACAGTAGTTATTGTGCCTGGATTGTTCTTTTAAAAATGACATGGTACATATACTGTATCTCTGTAAAGCAGCTTGTTTTACTGTGTATGGAGACACTTCTATAGATTGTGAGCTTCATGGGCACGAATTTCAGCATCAATGTTGATTTCCTAGTTGCTGCGAAAACAAATACATATCTCATAAAATATTGCATTCAGAAGTCAGAAAAAAACTGCAATTTAATAGCATAAATTTAGTGTTGGCACTCAAACGTTCTATCAATTTTCTGTTTAAATAACACAGGGGAAAATATGTCATATGTGGCCAGGGTATTTAAGAACAAATATGAAAACATACTGCATAGCAGGTGCAACTGGCTGTGGATAAAAATGGAGGTATTATGGACCTCACTGTTTAAAAAAGTGTGTGTATGAATGTTTGTGTGTGATTGTTTTGTACGTGTATGAGTCTGTGTGTATGTGTGTCTATATGTATCCATATGAGTATATGGATGTGTGTGTTTGTTTATGAGCCTGTGTACATGTATATCAATCTATGTGTCTATCTATATTTTTCTGTGGCTATGTATATGAATGTATATGTCTATATCAATGTGTGTATATGCATGTAAGTATGCACATGTATTTTTCCTAACAAAATTAATTTGAATGAGACACAAAATAAAATAATAGTTCTACAGTTTCTTAGCCAGCATGCCGCAGTGTTATCTAATTTTGGAGTTGCCAACTAACATGGCCAATGGGTTATATCCAAAAAATCTTAATAATAAAAAGTTTAAGTTTCTAACAAAAAATGATGTCTATACCATAGCATAATCATGACTGCAAGGAGATTCTTTCCTTTTTTAAACTGTTAAAAAAATAGAAATTGATCTAATAGATTTGTTTTATTAGCATATCTTTTTGACACTGCTATTGGCCCAGTCTGGGCTATGAGTTTGTTACAGTGGTTGCCTGATTTTGGGCATGGTGCAAGCATTGGACTTTATTTATATATTATTTAATATCTCCATTCACTTTAATATTCCCTCTCACATTTTGCTACTGTAAGTTTTTAATATCTCCTTGGCATTGTGTTAACACACACTTGAATGCTCCAGACCAGCAAATTGCTAAAACCTTGGCTTTTATAGAGGTGATAACACTTGCTGATGATCAATTAATCAAGGGCATTGGTTAGCAGCATCTGTCTGCTACTTAGCCTGTTGATTCCTACTGAAGCAACAAGGGTGTACGTAGTTTTCACACATGGCTTGTCCATTTTGGCTTTATTTTTGTTAAACAAATCATAACACAATGTAATATGTAATTTGTTATTGTTCATCTGAGGTTGTATTTACCTAATTTTAAGACCTAAAAAGGAACACATGATTGCTATTATGCCCTGATATGTAAAGAATCATCGAATCAAAAAGAAACATAGAATTCAAAGATGTACTTTCTTTTTCCCATGACTGTATGTATGACAGTGTGTTTGTGTAGAATTGTGTATCTGTTTATATATCTGTTTATGTATATCTCTTTATATATGCTGTGTATATGTGTGCAGCAGTGTCAGTCTTTGCGTGGCATTGCATATTTGTTTGTATATATGTGTGGCTGTGTGTCTATGTGTGTGGCAGTGTGTATCTGTGTTTGTGATATGTGTTTCTGTAATGGTGCATCTGTGAGTGAGTGAGTGAGTGGGTGAATGAGAAAATGTGAACATCCATGAAGGTGAGTGTATCTGTGAATGTATGCTTCTATGTGAGAGCAGTGTTTGCATGTGTGCCCAGGGGTGCATGATCAGGTATCCTGCCTAGGCAATATTAATAAAGCTCTGTGGAAACCGTGTGAAACATAGAAACATAGTGCGTCTCTATATGTGTACTGGCAACTGTTAGAAATCGTTTTCTGCTCAAACAGCTGCAGTGTTTCTACAACATACCGTAACCACAGTTCTGTTGCATTTTTGTTGTTTTTTTTTTGTTATTTAATGCCTGTCACTTGATACATCTATGCCCTGTCAAACAGTTAGGAAACACCTCTAAATCCTAGGGGCAAATGTCTTAATAAATCTTAACATTCAAGCACATAATTTGTTGAGGCACAAATATGCAAAATGTTTAAAGTTGATTGCTGTGATGTTCATGCCTTTGTAATTTAACATGTCTACTCAGTCTAACAATCATATACTCATCTTGACAGGATCTTGACAGGATAAATTTAGCTCCACACCTTTCTTTGCAATTTGTAGATTTTTACTCATGTTTTTTATAAGTTTTGTTTCAGAACCTGAGGAAACATGTGGAATGCCATAATCTTTAGTCTTAAGATAATGATCCAAAAACAGTAGATGCCCTTCTGGTGGTAGTAATCTCCTGATGACTTATGGTGGGTCTGTTAGTACAATCTCTCTTCCCAACTGCATGTTGAGTCACTTGAAGATAGCTGTAGGTAAATTTAATAACAAAAATTACACAAAATTAAGCATTGT